GCTTCCTTGCAGCCCGCAAGCAGGAGATCATCAAAGTTACGGAGCAGTTGATAGAGGCCATCAACAATGGGGACTTTGAAGCCTACACGTGAGTGTCTTCTGCCTGGGGGACCCAGCCAGGGCCCCACCTTTGAGTTTGCCAGCTAGTTTGACCCCTGACCTGCAGAGTAGATGTGCTCCTCTGCCTGCCTCATTTCCCACAGTGTGACTGCTCAATGCTTGTAGACGGTATGGGATGTTAGCATTCAGGATTGACAGTTTTCGTGCACTGAGCAGTGATGAAGTTGACTCTCTGCCCTGCAGGAAGATCTGTGATCCAGGACTTACATCTTTCGAGCCCGAGGCCTTGGGCAATCTGGTGGAGGGCACGGATTTCCACAGGTTCTACTTTGAGAACGGTGAGGCCTCCATGTCGCCTCATACAACATGCACGATGGCGTCGATAGCGCCGTGGTTGGTTGGTTGGCTGTTAGCGCCGTGGTTGGTTGGTTGGCTGTTTAATGGGATAAAGTGGCCAATGAGCTCACTGTGGCTTACCCCCCTCCCCCAGCACTGTCCAAGGGTAACAAGCCCATCCACACCATCCTGCTGAACCCACATGTGCACCTGATTGGCGAGGATGCGGCCTGCATCGCCTACATTCGCCTGACGCAGTACATGGATGGCAACGGCATGCCACGTACCATGCAGTCAGAGGAGACGCGCGTGTGGCACCGCCGGGACGCCAAGTGGCAGAACATCCACTTCCACCGCTCCGGCTCACCCACCGTGCCCTCCAAGTAAGGTGAGGATACCCCGTCTGCCCGCTACCGTGGTGCTCGGGATGTTGTGGGACTTTTACTTACACAAAAATGTTCTGAGGACAGAATGAAAAATGATTGATTGGTTATTTCTCTGAACCAGATTGTAGAGGAAGTGGGTCCAAGCAACTAGAAGAATTGGGACCAAGACACGTGATTGGCTGGTCCCACTTCCTCTAGTTCTTTGGACCCACCTCCTGTACAATCTGATTAGTTTTCCCTCTGAACCAGTCTCTCTTTTTCATTCTGCCCTCAGAACATTTTTGTGTAATACTCCCATGAGCGCTATAGGATCCTGATTCTCTATGTATGTATTTGCCCATATGCTTAGTCTCACTCCCAAATTTTAAAAGTGTGTGTGTGTGTGTGTGTGTGTGTGTGTGTGTGTGTGTGTGTGGTGGTTATGAAGCCGCAGTGTCTACGCTCACACCTTCTCACTCTCTCACAGTTGATACCTCATCCAGCTCTGAAGGCCGCCAGCTGCCCCCATCCTGTGGCCTGGTGTGAGCCACACCCAGCCCCACCCCCGCCATCACTCTGCCGTGACCCTCGAGTGTTTACACCTTATTTACTGGATGAGATCCAGGCCGATAATTGAGACACCTTTGTTTTTTTATTAGGGCGTATTGTTTTTAATCACCTAGGTTGATGTGTGTAGCGCTTAATCATTATGGGACATTTGTCAGACAATCTTTTTTTTTTTTTTTATGTCTTATGATTGTAAATCTTGAGTAAAACATTTTTTATTAAGCGATTTACATGGAAATGTACACCTTGTAGAGTTACTGAAGCAGTTCTGTAGAGTGTCTTGATAGTTCAACCTTTGGCCTGCCCTTCACTAACCTGGTGAATGGATCGGTCAATGGTTCTCAGTCAGGCCTGTGAAACACCACTGGTATGGAAGTCCAGAGCGCCCCTATGCCATTGTGGGGAAAATTAAATACCGGGCCCATCAGGGGCGGTCAGCAGCACATGCTTACTGGATCAGAATAACAAACGCCGATTCAGTACATTTATTTAGCTGGTCTGTGTCAAGCTGAATCCAAGTTAAGATGACAGGTGTTGGACAATAATGCAGGCATGAGAAATCGCTGGTTCTCACACATGTCGGTTTCTGTTCTGCGGTTTTGTGTGAAGTCGTTTAATTTCCATTATAGTTGTAATAAAGGTGAGCTTGCTTTCGTTCTGGTGCCGTGCAGACTTTGTGGTTGAGGTAATCGATATCTGCCTATCTTTGAAGTTTTTTACGTGGACTCCATCCGTATCGTCTGGCTGCTCTAAACTGGTTTATCAAGTTTACCTGGATTATTAAGAATTTGTAATGTCAAGAAAAGGGGAAAATGTATTTTTTTTTTTTTTTATTTCTTTTTTTGCTATGCTGTTTGCCTATCACTCAGCCTGTACTGATTATAGAACGTAACGCCTATCTGTAAGCGTACTCCTAAGGCCCCTGGGAACATAGAGCTGTATTAATACCATCTGTGATCTTATTCTTGTGAAATTCTGTTGTATTTTTCTCCATCCCGTTTATAAGCCTAACGTGTAATCAGTAGGTTACCCTGCGTGATCCTGGGTTTTCTTTGGGTCTTTGGTATTGATGGACATTTTCCTGGGTTATATAACTGTCTGCTGCATGACGCCCTTATCATCCTGGTCGCTGTAGCTATGGTGTCTGATTATCCTGCACATGAATTGGACCTCTGTGTTAGTTGCTCATTTTAAGACTAATACTCAAGGCTTTGATGTTTTTATTGGGGTTGGGGTGGGTTATGGTTAAATAGTTCAGTGTGAATAACTGTTTAAATGTTTTCTGTTTAAATTTGTTCCCCCCACAGTTTAGCTACATAGAGTACAGCCATGTCATTTGCCAACAAATCTATGGAGAGGGATTTTCCTGTAAATGGCATAAATGATGTGGTTGAGACACGTATAGATGGCATTTTACTATGTATGAGGTGATATTTTTATATATGTATCATCTGTATATGTATATATGAGATGTATGGAGTGGAGTAGGTCTTCCGCAGAGGTTGTAGTGACGGTGCCGTTGAGCTTTCTTTCCTTTTCCTGCTGGGTTTTCTTGCATTATGGGACACTGTACATATCTCTGGCCATTTCTGCTCAAGAACTGGTTGACATTTAAAAGGGAGAAATAAAGTGACTTCTGCTCAGCTTGTTTTAGGTTATTCTGCTGCAAGTGCAGTGTGTCCCTGAGCAGTGAGTGAATGGGAACATTGTCATCAGTGTGTGTGCGCTTGTGTCTGTAGCGCCATCTGCTGACTGTCAATGATTTTCAGTTTGAGCCATCTACCATCTACCATCTAGCAGCTGTTTTCCGAAGGGACATCTTCATGGGTTTTGTTTCTTTTGTGCAGTTTGACATTTATGTTGGTTTCATATGTAATGCAGTGTCCCATGTGCCATGATTGACATTAAAGACTTCAAATCATACGTTAGAAGTGAAAGTCTGTGTCTCTGACCATTGTTTGGGGTGACTGAATGTATGTCTGTCATTCTGTGAGAGATGGATTCTTCAGTGGGTACAAGAGGGATGACTGCCATGGGGGGGGGGGGGCGCTAGAGTTGACAAACACCTGCTACTGAAAGAGGAGACAGGCCTTTGTTTTACATACAACACTTTATTCAGTCTGCAGTGACTATGCCTTGTTAGTGGTTTACATGTTCTGTTGAATTACTAATACATGCCCTCATAAATAGTTGTTGTGGATATAGTTTACACCATAGAAACAAGATGCTCATTCATCAACTGTGGACACCTCTCAGTAGCTTGTTTGATTACACTTAAACAGTTATGTGGGGAAATAAAACCATAATATCATTACATGGATATATAGTCAGCACACCACAGACACTGTGCACCTTGCCCAGACCACACCCACACACTCATTCACTATGGTTGCAGTCTGCTTGGAAACCCCCCCCCCCCCCCTGGAATTGCCAATCCTCCCTTGGCAGTCGGGTGCCCCTCAGCACTAACCCTGCACCTCCTTTCAGATGAACAGTGGGCACATCAAAGGGTCACAGCGGAACCCTTTCTCTGGTTGACACAGTGCAGAACAGTGGATTTGGCATTTCTGCTGTCAAATGCATACACTTCTCAGGGCAGGAATGACATTGCTTGAGCAAAGTTCATCAGGTGAGCTGCATGCCTACGGTCCTGTCAAGGAGAATGAGGGATATTGCCTTTGGTTATATAGCTTCCAAGACAATTTCAATTAGTTACTAAGATTACAAGGCACAGTGAAGCCTGCCAATTGAAATGCTATTACAATATGGGAATGAATTGGAAGTGATCATAGGACTTGGCTGCACAAACACATCTGCCAGTATGCCGCCCTTCCTTTCTCTGGAGTCGACAGCTCAGATGTTGCCTTACAAGCCATTACACTCTATATGTAGTGCATTGCCAGTCAGTCGGTATGTTACATGTCAGGCCACTATAATTGCTCTAACGATGTGATTTTGTACAAATTTAAGCACTAATTTTTGCAGCTATTCTAGGGGTGGCAGCACAGTTAAGATATTTCTAGAAAGACGGCAAATCTAAAACACATAGTTATGAGGCTGGTAAAAACCTATCTGTCATGCTGTTGTGCAGTGGCAACATCAGTACTATTCACGTGTTAAAGACGTAGAAAAGCCACTGTGTTTCAGATCAAAAAGGGGCCGGGACCTGATCACCTCTGAGGAGAGTCACAGCACTGGCTCACACGATGAACTTGGCTCCTGCAAAGTCAGGAATGTTGTTGATGGCCTTGCCTCCCACTCCGCTTGCCGCAAAAACTCCACGGGCTGCTCCACAAATGACCTTTGACTCAAAGCTGCATAGTTTGTGTGCTACTGATCAACCGAACAAGCCATGAGGAGGACGGGGGTGCTGCACTTAACACCAAGCGAAGGAGGATACGTGAAGTCTGAGTGACGACTGCAGACCAAGAGGAGTGCAGCTGGAGATACAGCTGTCTCTCTCTCTCTCTCTCTCTCTGTCGGTGCCATGGAGACACCGGCGAAAGCAGAGAGACACGAAATGGCTTCGGGCTTACGTGACAGGACGGGCTCACAGACCACCACAAAGGCGAAACCTGATCACACACAAAAAAAGGACGTGCTTCTGTGAGAGCATGCAGAATGGGACAGCCGCAGAGGACCACGATGAGAAGACGAATCGGCCCCCCGGGACTGGGATGCGGCGGGGGCTCTGTCAGCCACGGGAGCAGTGATGTTACCCTCTGCAAAAGCACAGGTCCACAATGACGAAACGCACCATAGCAACAACCCTTCTCATCGGACAGCTTGGAAAGGGGCTCGGTGCACATGGCAGGGTGTCAAGGTCCTGCCCTCTGACTGCAGGGAATAAAGGGTGAGCAGATGAGTACTTCCCCCTCCTTTTTTTGTGTGTGGCTGCGTAGATACAGAAGGCAGTGTAGTGAACTTCCCGGTGAATCCAAGCATGTAGCTCATATATACACTGTTTACAAGAAGTCCTCGAGCGAAGAGGCCTGTGGGCAAGGATGGCGATTAACCTCTTGCTGGTTATCGTGGTGTTTCCCCCCCCCCCCCCCCTGTTGGTGTGCATGATTTTCTTGCTTTTTTTTTTAAACCACTGCAACCCAAAAAACTACATAATTAAAATAAAGTTTAAAAAAAAATAAATAAAAAAAAACCTTCCAAAGTCAGGAGCTATCTTTGGTCACAAAAAGAGCACGACAACTCAAACGTGAAGATTGAAGGAGGGGGGAAAAGGAAAAGGTCCATGAGTCAGATGGGGGGAAAGGAGCCGTTACCTTCCAGGCGGATACTGAGGGGGGGTCAGCTATATACACAGTCTGGGGCGGGGCAGTACGGGACAATGAGAAGGGGGGGAGTGGCTGGGCAGGGCCAGGATCACTCCTCCTCATCGTCCCCCTTCAGCTCCTCCTCCTCCTGCTCGTTCTCCACCTCCTCGTCGGTGCAGTAGTGGCGGAGCAGCTGCTGCAGGTGCCGCTGGAGCTCGCCGGGCGGCAGGGCCTGGGGGACACTGTCCAGCTGCTCCAGGTGGACCTGCTTGCCCTGGGCGCCCCTCACCACAGTCCTCTTCAGCGTGTGTGCCTTATGCATCCGGGTCCTTCCGTAGGGGTGGGGGTGGCGCAGGGGACATGGGAGCAGCACAGGATGGGGGAGAGAAACACAAGGAAGCCGTCAAGCGGGGTTGGCGTGGGCAGATAAAGGCGTGGGGCTGGGAAGGACTGCCTCTAAACATGGCCGCCCATGGTTCCTGTGCTAAAAAGCACTAGACCAGTGTTTCCCAACCCAGTCCGCGGGGAACCCCGGACAGTCAGGAACACTGAATACCTGGTACAGGTGCAGAGAGGAAGCAAAAATGTGGACTGTCTGGGGTTGCCTGTGGACTGGGTTGGGAAACACTGCACTAGACAATGCATGGTTCCTCTAATCATTAGCGAATGGACTGACCACAGAAATACTGGGTCAACGGTCTCATTATTATGATCATTTTAGATTGGGGGGGGTGCTACCCATAGAAAGCACATACAGGCTGTTAATCAAAAAAGGGTGGGACAACCAGCAGGGGACGTACCACAGAAACGGCTACCTGAACAGGTAAGCAGACAAGAGGTGGCAAAGACACACAGACACAGCCAGAACAATAAGCTGTAATGCCAATCGGCGCCAGGGAACAGGTATTCAGAAAAGCCAACGGGGCAGTTATTCAGACAGAGAAGAGACAGAGACAATTTTTAATGCTACATGCACTAGCCTCTCTATCGGACAACCTAGTTTAGTCCATTATTGGAAAGGACAGGAAGGAGAGAGTGCGAGGATCCAACAACCACTACATGCTGAATGTTGCACCTATTTCTGATGCAGTTAAATTTCAGAAATATACACTGAAGCCTTGTGATCCAGGATAAGGTTATTAAGACCTAAAATACTTCAAAACTTTACAAGCAAGCAAAATCTTCAATTTAAAGAGGAAGAGAAGAACCTGGTGCCTTTTCCCTTCCATCATTTCCTAAATTCACTGACTTGCTTTAACACTTGTTACTGGTAAAAGGCTTAAAACAGTCTGAGCACATATATAAGACAATACAAATATAGCTCACTGATGCTATGAAAATACCACAGACCAGTGAACAGCTGGGCCTCCCAATCCCTGCACTTTTTTGCACAACAGCTCAACCTCTCAAGACTCGTGAGTTTCTGGAATGTACTTATGCATCATATCCTAATGCCCCCCCCAAGCATCACAGGACTGAACATCAAATGGCAGTCCTCTGCCTCCCTGACTGATGTGATGGAGGCAAAAGCAGGGCTGTTAGTGTGGGGTGGGGGGCACACGGTGCTCTTCAGCCTCGCTCAGTCCCCGGGCCGGGCCGGGCCGGGCCGACATGCCGCTCGTCAAACCTTTTGATGACCGATCCGTCGTCTTTGACAATCTCCTGCTCTACTAAACGTGGGAGGTACATCGTTCCAAAGCTGCCCACATAACTCAGAGCCTACACATGGTGAGACAAGGAGAAGCACTTTCACACGCTCCAACTTCCACACAGCTACACATGACACCCTCTCTGCTCTTCGGGCTGCACATTGTCCTCTGTCAGCTGCTGGCCTTCGGAATGAATTAATTGTTTTTTTAAATAATTAGTAATAATAATAATTATTATTATTATTCCATTGCCATACGGACTTGACCTTCAACCAGATAAAAAGCCTGCTAATCAAGCTATTTTAATCTGGCTCAAGGGCCGACACTAGAACCCAGAACCTTCTGTTCTGAAGGCTCCCCCGCTGGGCCCCTCGCCCGTACAGCGTGAAGCTGAGTCTTCTCAGCATGCCTGTTCCGCGCCAAGCCTGACTGACCTGTTCAAAGTCGTCTTTGGCTGAGGGCAGACCGGCAGCCAGCGTGGGGTCCCCTAGCTGCTTCTCCATCCTCTCCCCTTGGAGCACCGTGGTCTTCACCACCTGGCTGACCTTTCGGCCCTGCACGGGCTCGGCCTCGAACTCCGAGGCTGTAGCCCCGGCCAGTGCCAAGGGCTCGGAGAAGGTGACCTGGGTAAGGTCAAGAGGCACCATTTCACCCATCAATGAAGACGACCATTAAAAGGTACCGTGGTCACATTCAGCCGTTCTTCACCTAGTCGGCTCAGCTGCAGGCAACCATGGCTACATGAGTTTGTTTAGCAGCTAATAGGACCTGCTATTTAGAATGTGTCAGATGATCTTCCACATATTTATTGTTACCCTGACTGCACATCTTTGGGCTTCAGAGGCTGGTTTTGAACCCCCCAATGCCAGAAGTGTGAGGTAACAGCACTAGTCATATATGGACTAATTACACCAAACATATTACCCCCCCCCACACACACACACACTTGCACTGTATAAAAGAACTGCACTAAGCACATTATTTTATATATGCAAATAATTTTCTTGGCCAGAACAGTATTAATTGAGATTAAAGTCAAAATAAACTTCCAGGAGAAAAGTTTAACAGTAGAAACCTGTCTGTGACTGATATCTGCAGGAGGTCAGTGGTCTTACACGATAACACTGTACAGATGCCTTACATCCCACTGCCTTCTGGGCTCATTCCATGAAAATGGACACAGATTCCCAAACTTGTCTGCCCACGACCCCAGAATAACAGCGACAGAGATTTGTGACTGCCACTAGGTTAATATTGGTGCAATTACACTAATGACTGCATTTATTACAGTGCAAGCTATCAAGTCCTGATGGGATAATTTGCTGACCGAGGGGCGGGGGAGGGGTGATAGCCTGGTTGCGGTAACAGTTAAATGGGATATTCTGCATATCATCATGTGACCCCCTACTTTGGGAACCATTGTGCCAGAAGAAGCTATCTGTAGACTTCTGATACATCTCCTCTAAAATAACACCTAGCCTAAAATTATGACTTTATTCTCATACTATTATGCCTTTTTTCTTGCAAAGTTATGACTTTATTCTCGAAATCTGTTCTTTTCCCTCTTAATGTGGCCCTAATACTCCATCTTATTTTGTCTTTTGATATCTAGAAGTAAATTCCAAGTTTGTATAAAAGTACTTGACAATAAAACAGTTTGGCAGAGACATTATTCATTTGTTCTCCACCAACTGACCTCAGTCTGGCCTCCGTCGCTTTTCAGCACAGTCCTCTTCACCACCTTCGAATAGCCTTGTCCTTCCTCAATGCTGATGGGCTCTTCCTGCGACCCCTGCGTTATCACCTCCTGCCGCTCCACACCGTCCGCTGACACATACTTCCGGATGATCTTCCTGCTTACCTGGGGAATAAAAATAAGAATAGATTTGCATACTGCAAATAATTCAAACAAAATCCATCCGTGGTCATTTAATCACCTCTGTGGCAAATCCGTAATTAAGTTTGATAAAAGTGCAATAGGCCGATTCATCCTTTGAAAATGTAAAGACACTGTGTACCTTTTTGGTGACCATGTTCCCATGCTCATCGATGTACTGCTCCTCTGTTACTCCCTCCGCCGATATTTCTGGCACGTCGTCTCCCTACAAAGAACATTGTGATTAGACCAAGCATATAGAAAATCTGGACGAGATCCACAAAGGCCAATCAGAAGTGAATCTGGGCAAGCTGATATCCATGCTCGCTCTAGCTGTGCAAAATTCAGACTCATTATTCTTTACTTCCCCATTACAACACTCAGCTATACTATCCTTAATCATCTCTTCTGTTAGAAAAGCTGTATGGTAATACCGGATAGGATTATGCAGCATGACATAAAACCAAAACAAAAGCTTGCATTGTAGCATATTCAGGGTGCTTCAAACTGTTTCGCATACACCTGTTTGGGAGTCGCACCAATCAAACAGCCACGACAATCACATGGCCACGGGGCCAGCACCGCACTCCATTCATTTCTGTGAACTGTATTTATTCACTGTTAAACGTGGTGTTAATTCCTCATTCGGTGGAAATCTGGGTTAGGTAAGAACATCATAAAGTGCCAGGAAGCTAAGTCGTTTTAGGAAGTGATCCAGGAGCAGCATTGCAGGGGGGTATTCCACAAAGCAAGATTGCTCACCTAGGTGGGTTAACTTAAGCTAGGAGTGATGATTGTCTAATAGGAATTCTCCTTACTTGAACTCCTATTGGACAGTCATAACTTATAGCTTAACCCATCTAACTGAGAAATCTTGCTTTGTAGAACACCCCCCAAGTCTGCACATTAAATGCCCTAGATGCAGACATAACATTCCTTCAGGGGCAAATCCAGCCCACATGCTCACAAGGGGAGGGCCTCTGGCCAGTACCTGAATGATTACTCTGCGCCGAACCACCCTGGTGGTCAGCACTTCCTCTTCCGAGCTATCTGACAGCACACCAAGTTCCTGTGATATTTCCTGAGAGTTGATGGTGAAGTGGGGTGTCAGTCATGGGCTATAGCCAGGAAACATGCCCCAGTCCAAACGGAAAACCATTCAGAAAATTCATCATTTGACAGGTCCAACGGACATGCACTTATTTCCAGTGATCCTTAATCAACCTTGTTATAATTTTGAAGAATGTGGATCAGTTTAAGGAACAACAGTTAACAAGAACACTGTAGGTGATGCATGAAACCCGCAATCAGCCAAAAGAAGTCAAATCATTTGCAAGCTTCAGCACAAATGTCCAGAACTAAAGTCCACTTCACACAAGAAACCTGAAGAGTGTCACAGCAGTCTGTCCTGCAGGAATGAAACTCACACAGCTTCATTTGATCTCTTCAGCTACCATTTACCATTCTATATAATGTTTTAGTTTAACACTTGTATTGAGGTTAAGGACAACACTGTGAATCCATGCCTCAGATGAAAATCCATGCATAAAACCCACAAATTCTGTAACACTGAGTATACAAGTGTGGACATTAGAGAAATAAGTCTTGGATGCACCACTCCTGCACTAAACTGCACGCACAAACTCATGCTGAAATCCTTACCCTGCCTAGAAAATCATCTTCATCCTCATATTGAATCTTTTCTCTCACTGGAAGCTCTTCTGGAGCTTCTACAACAGAAACAGTGCCCTTACGAGAAGGCAAGGCCTCCTCTTTCCCATGTTCCTCTTGGCTCCAGGCCACCTCAGCTGGCCCAAAGACAATGGGGGTAAACTGGTAATCTTCGCTTTCTTGGTGAAAGTGATCAAAGCTCTGTGTGGGCTTCAGTTGTAACACTGGGCTCTCTTCTGGGTAGTCAGGACTGCTAGGGCAGGAGACTGGTTCTTCAATGTAGTAAGGTAAATCTGGTACACTTCTTAGCTCATCAGCTTCAGGCTCAGAAAAATCTGACAAGCCCTGCTTACAGTCATAATACTCCGAGCTTGAGTCATGGTAGGGTTCCTCTGTGGAAAAACCCTTGAGCCTCTGTTGGAGGACCGGTGTCTCATGCTCAGTTAGGCCATGGAAACTCACATCCGCTTCTCTTGCAAGGCTTTCTTCTTCTACAGTGCTGGTGGAGGCTTTAGTTTCAGGAGATTCCAGTGAACTGGGAGAGTCCAGTGATCTGTGCTCATGACTAAACTTTTCTGATTCCCTAAAGGATCCAATATCACCGGCTGCAGTCTCTGAGTACACTTGGTGGGGGAAGCCACACACTGGTTGTTGTTTCGATTCACCAGATACTTCAGACAATATTGTGAGATCTTGACCCTTTTCAAGTAAATGCACTGCATATGATTCAGGAGTTAATTTGGAGGATGGGTAAGAAGTATGAGGTAACTGTAAATCACCCTTCTTTAGATCAAATTCAAAGGAAGACCTACTGGATCCAGGAGACAATGATCTCAATTCGCCAGATGATCTACAAAATGCAGGTACCTTTTCTGAATCAGACTCATCTGAACTGATTGGAAGATTGGATCCCCCTAAATTAGGACTTATCATTCTGTGCGTCTTCAATGTTGAAAAAGGGTCTAGGAGACCGAACTGAAAGGGACCTAATATTCTTAACTGGGATTCAGAAGGACTTCTAAGCTTAGAAGAGATTTGACTCTGTTGACCAGGCAAACTCAGAGTGGACTCTGAAATAGTCTGTTTTATTGGACACGGAGGGTTTCTAGTTAACTGAGTAGAGAAAGCCTGAACTTGACTCTGAGTATTATAAAAATCACACGTTGTTTCTCTCGATTCAGAAACTAAGTGCTTTTCCATGCTTGTTTTTGGTGGAACCTGTAAAGACATTACAAAGATGCCTAATATGCACCTTTTTCAGGACAGCTGTGACATATGCTAGATTAACAAAGAAATCCCTAAAAGTAAGAAAGGATCTAAACACTCAAAGGAAGCAAGACGGCATCTATAGGGTCACATCCATGTCAGGCCATCAGAAGCTCCCCCACCTGACCACCTCAGATTGAACTAAGAAATTCCGAGGGGGGGATAAGAGGAAAAGAATATTTCAGGTCTGTATTGTTTTGGCAAATAGAAAAATTAAGGGACTGGGCAGAGGGTGTTTTGGGCATTTCTCTAGCATTGAGAACTGAGGGGCCATTTACACCTGCAATATCTAGAAATATATTTGATCTAGATCCTTGTAATTATGTAGGGTAAATATCTGGTACTGTGACTCTATGAATATGGTCTATTCATATGGTTAGTTATAATATCTCTATAATATATGATTGGGTCTGCCTTTCATGTTTGAATTTACCTAGTATATGAGAAGTACTTTATGAAATGTACTATCTTGGAAATACTGATTTTTACAAGTGTAATACACTTTAAGGCCACTGTATACAAACATAAGAGTTTTTAAAAAAAATCATTTTGGAAAAAGGAGAGAGGACACCATATATAATATAACAGAAACTTACTCTTCCAATAAATGTCAATTTGGATTTGGCACATGGTGTCATGCTTAGGGAATAACAGTTTGGATGAAAATGTGTGTTTTTTTATTTTGATCTATACCCTGCTTTTATATATATAAAACCATTAATCTGAATAGGACTCTTTCAGGCTATATTGCATCTTACGTATGTGAAACTGTATATAAAATACCAGTCCCCTACCTTTAAAATTATGGTTTCTGCTGCCAGAGATGACTTTTTAAGGAAATTCAGGCACCCATCAATCTCTTAAATTACATTTCAGAAAGTCCATATTCATAGAATTATAATACCAGATATTTACTTTATACAAATAGAAAGCCCTATATCAAGTATATTACTAGATATTGCCGTTTTAAAATCAATTCTCAATAAGGCCCAAAAAAGGCCTAAAAACACCTGAGCCCCATTCCTTGAAAAATGTATTTATTATTGTAATTTTCCTATTAGGAAGAATATCCTCCACCTGGATTTTCTTTAGGCAAATCAGAGGTGGTCAGTTGGGAAGTTTTTCTTAAATCTGATGGATTGAGATGGAGTAAACCTATAGAAGATAATAGGCTGCCCACAGATTTTGGAAAATAATTCAAGCAACATTCACACCCAGCACCTCAAAAGTTGTGTCCCTGTTAACTTAGTTAGTGGGTCACCAACATGCCGACAACAGAATCCATAAATATCGGCCATATTAGTTGAAAGTAGTAAAATTAGACAACAGAAGACCAGAAATTCTGAAGTTTTGCAAATCCTTGTTCTTCTCTTCTATGAATGTGTTCAGGTGACAAAAGCTGGAAAAGCCACAGGCATGCTGAAAATCTTACCCTTCTTATGAGTTCTTGGTTCCTTAAAACATCAGCATTCAGAACATCTTGTTTCCTGTCTTGATCCAGGACCTCATGTGACTCACAGACAGGCCTGTCTCCAAAAATGTTTTTTCCCAAGGGTATAAATCTTCCATAACAGTCTTTTTCCAGTACAGGTTGCATGGTATAAACTGGAGCACCAGAAGGCTCATATGATAGTTCTATGGTTTGAGTTTTCTCTGCAGATATTTGGCCGAAATTAGGATTAGCTGTTATAATTCCAGTTGATGTGCTTTTCACACTTGGTGACTTGAATGATTCTTGATCGAGCTGGATCCCATGAAGCGATGCAGCAGATTCCAGAGATGCAGGTGGCACTTGTATGGATGTTTGTCTAGATGACTCTACCCATAAGCCTTGAGAATCAGCAGTGGTTTCACTTGTGAAAGAGGAGCATAAAATAGATTCTTGTTTTTCTGCGTTATATTCAGATAGCATATGATCCAGTCTCGCTGCCACTGGTTGAACTTTATTAATTTGAAGAACCTTTTCGGAAACTGATCCTGCCTTGCATTCGGTCCTTCTCTGTAATTCTGCTGTAGTGACTGACTCTAATGATAATGGCCTACCTCTATGGTTTGGGTCAAATGCCACTGATTCAGGTGATCCTTCACAGTAATCATTATCAGACACTAAAGAGGAAGGGGATTTAATATCTGTTTCTGAAAAAACTGAATCTACAGTGACTTGATATTGTGGCATTACTTCAATGACTTTACACTCTATCACACATGGTACAGGTGATGATATTCCATACTGAGCTACTGAGCAGTCAGGGGAGCAGTCAGCTTTTGAAGATATTGATTCAGGTGACAATGGCCTATCCTCAGTCTGTAGCATTGATGGCTCAAATTCGGAGGTTCCATATTCAAGTAAGGGGGAGTCAGGTAATAGTGACCTTAACTCATCAACCGATGCTGCTGATGCAGGTGATGGCTTTGATGACACCGGTCGGCACTCGAGAGATATCGGCCCCTGCTCCATTTCAGTGGCCTGAATTTTGCCTTGTTCACACAGCAAAACCTCATAGTTGGGTGTGATGTCAGACAGAATTGCAGATGCAAAATGATAATCTTGTTTGGGAATTTGAGATGTATCTATCCATGCCAAAGGTGTTCTAGGTAGTTTAGTTGTTTCAGTGTCCTCTATGTATTCAAAGATACCTGGTTTATCCCAGAAAGTCTCTCCTTTGTACATGGGGTCATACACCTGGGAAATAAATTTCCATAACACTGGCTTGAATGTGAGTCTGTAATCAGAAACTTGCATAGCCAGTTCTGGTGTTGACCATACACATTTTGGTTCTGGAGGAGACAATTCACTTATTAATGCTTTGTTTTCAGCTACTGAAATATTCAGTGGAGCAAAGCTAGAAGCTATTCTATCTTTGGAGATAACTTCAGGTGACATCAGTGTACGTTCAGTATCTGAGCTCATGGGTTCAGGTGATTGCCCTCGACATTCTTGAAATGAGGTTTCAAAACAGGTTTCACATGCGTATTCAACATCAGATGTCACTGATTCAGGTGAGGATGATCTGTCCGCTACAGTTGAAAACAATGATTCCAATTTTAGTGGTCTAAATTCTGGTACGGGTGAGTAAGGTGAGAGCAATTTGAATTCATTAACAGATCCAGTTGATTCACGTGATGCTGATCTATCATCAAAATGTAAAGGTTCAGGAAACAATTCAGAATCACTCTCTGACAACTGTGATTCAGGTGAAGCTGATCTATACCCTGCTCCTAATTTTGCAGATTCAAAAACTGACACATTATACTGAGGTACAGGGGAATCTGATGAGAGTACCCTGAACTCATTAATAGATCCTGTTGATTCAGGTGATGCTGGTCTATCATCACGATGTAAAGGTTCAGGAAACAATTCAGAATCACTCTCTGACAACTGTGATTCAGGTGAAGCTGATCTATACCCTGCTCCTAATTTTGCAGATTCA